AAAAAAGTCAAAATATAAGTTCTACTTTTGGTTGATAGGACTGTAGTGTTATTGATATTCATGACAATTTCTGTGGTCAAGCATGAATTAGACTGTTTATATTTAGTTAATATTCATCGAATTACACTTCATATATTCTATCAAGTCACTTCGTTTTCAAGTTCTATGATTGAAACACAGTGGAGCCATGATTTTTCATTGTAATCTATTATTATTTCCTTCTAATTTTCAATATCCATATTATGTCCTTCCTTCAAATCTGTGATGAAGAGCTTCATATATGTTTCCATTCTACTATCAGCATGCGACAAGTGCATGCTAATTTCAATCCATTTTATTTAAGCGTAGATGATATTGAAGTCCGAGACATTGATTGCTCTTGAAAATTCGAGTAATAGTGGAGTAAGGTGAAGTATTCGGTCTTTATTGCCGGACAGTCTTATATCAAATGAACTAAAACGAATATGCTCACGACAGACTATAGTACTGAACTCTGCATAGCTTGAAAGTTTCAAAGAATATCTTTGACCCAGCCTCTAAGTCAGCCGAAAGTTCGGAGTCTTTGCTCTTCTCTGTTAGGAAACTGTATTATATAAATCACAGATCATGGCAAAACTGTAAGACAGCATGCCATAAAACTCCCAGATCGTTTTGGACATCCAAATCTCTGTTGGCAGACTACAAGTGTATTAAAAGGCAGCTTTCTCGCGATTTTTGGAACCAGCTAAGAAGATAGGATCAAGTTTCTGACGATATCTCTCAATATGTTGACAGTAACGTGTCAGAAAGGCTTCTGAGTGGTGAAATAGAAGTCTAAAATAATTTGTATAGCGATTCAGAGATAGGTATAACTCATTTGAGACGAGAAAAGTCAATGATGACTCATGCCGGTCCACCAGTCGGTCCGGTCCGGTCTGACCAGTTCAGACCGGTACCAGTCTAGAAAAAAACCTACTGGTTGCAACATTGGTGCAGATGATTGTTCAGACGGCATAGGTGAGTGCTTGAATAGTATAGATATTTGTTTCGAATAGATAGGGATACGCGCACTTTTAACAATAGACTGTAGGATTCTAAACAAAGCTCACTGATGCAGTATTCAGTGGGCAATAGAAACGCACAAGACAACACAGTATGGGCCATACTTACTGCAGCTTCTTATTTGTTTTCTTATTGTTCGTCACAGCACAATGATTTTGTTTCTGTTGCGGCTAATGTTTGGATAAATTCGAGAAGTAAATCGACAGATCCGATTGAATAGGTTTACTTACCTGGCCTTCAGTTCGACGACTGTGGGAAAGAACATAGTCATTATTTCGAGGATGCTGAACATCGTTTGTACCACTCGGAGGAGAGCTACTTTGCTGCTTCAAGAAGTTTCGTGAATCCGGTTGCTTACATAAAGAGTCAGCACCTAAACCAAATGAAGTAAACCACACATTATCAAAGATGAATCTGTCTGAGATCATGCTAATCGAAGTACACGGTTACCATATGCAGAATTTCTCTCCCGTAAGATAATGCTATCAAATGTATTTCATAACGACAGAGCGTCATTTGAATACTATCCCGTCTGTAGTCCGTACAAAGTATTATAGAATGGGACATCATGCAAAAAAGAAACTAATTGAGTGTGAATCACAGATCGAAATCGAATCGATTTAGAATTAAATATAATGTTTGTTGAATCGAATCGAAATGAATGAGCATTTTTAAAAAGTAGATCGAATGGAATCGAATTCCTCTAGTCATATTCGCTTGAGAATGAGCTCTTTATTTATTACACAGCGTTTAGATCGAGCGCAGTCTGATTGACATAACCGAGGATTGCTAATAAAAAGCATGTTATCTCTCTCTTTTCTTTTTCTCTCATACTCGGCTGATAATGACCTATTTATTTATCATATAATGCCATAATCGAACGCCGCTTCACTGGCAACAATGATCGATAACGAAGAAACATAGTATTTTTTTTTTTCGTTTCTATTTTCTTATGGCATAAATAATCTGTATATATTAGTTCGAGGAGAATAGATCAAAGGATCAAAGAGAGATGTATCTAAAGATAATTGATGTGGAAAATGGTCGAAAAGGGTCTTAGAAAATTCTGAGAAGCTAGGCAAATGCTTGTTTTACATTGGATAATACCAACATTCTAAGAGAGACCAAATATTAGTCAAAAAAATGTAGTGTCAGCTTTTTTTATTTAGCACGTGAAAGTGACAATCCAATATCAATATTCCGTAGCATTTATTACAACTTTATAATATTGTTTGTCGAGTTGATTCATACATTTGAATCTTATTTTCTATGATTTGCTTCGGTCTTGCTCCTAACCCTGTACTAAACTGATGGCGCATATGGTGAATTGTAGTTGGTTCAAGTTCACTGAAGATGAAGCAATTGCAGCCATGGCAATAGAATTCAGTTGTGTAACAGTTCTTTGTTGGACTCTTAGTTATTTCATATCAGGTACCATTGATCAACGTTACTAATATTTCCAAATCTAGATAGAACTACAAGAAAAATAACCATTAACTCTAAGGGCTTACAATCATCATTTATTGTAAGCCCTCCTATTTTTATTAATCTCTCGCTTCAATATTTGTTTTTCGACATTTTTCCTTTCGATCTTTTCCGAACCCAACTATGTATTCACAAATCATATCAAAATCGTATAGTTACAAAGACGATCCATAGACAACTCTCATCCTCAGGAGACAACATTGCCAAAAAAGTGATATTATGTAAAAACACATAACATATTTTTTCGAACATAACCGGAATCGAATCAAAGCGAATCGAATTCTTAACATCTGTTTCGAGTTCTGGTGTGAATCCAAACTATTAGTTGCTTTACATTGCCTATATGATAGATGCTCATTAATAACATTCAATGAAATGCCGCTATTTAGAGATCTGCAAAATTACTTTTTCCCACAGACAATCCCAAGTTCAAGTTCAAGTTTTTTCGTAGCTTGGTCCTATCACGGCATAAAATTCTGCAAGGTTTCTGTTTCCGATATCATTTTCTAAGACCACGAACTTTTCTGTAAGATTAAACATAAAATTTTCGATTGATACTCGTATTTAAACGAATAACAATCAAGTTGGTTATTTCTAATACAAAGAACTACAATAATAACACTAATAGTTTAACATTAGAAATAGGAAATCTGGCAAATAAAATTGCAATCATAAGAATGGGAATTTACTATTGAACCAAAGCTACATATATATACTTTTGACAGTCCAAAGGTAGTGAGAGTAGTACTTTAATTCCTTATAAAAAGCTTAAATAAACTCTTTCTCTACATAGTCTGATAGAGAAAAGAATGCTCTATTTTTCTATGCTATTTGATAATGCTTCAACTAATATTATAATAATAAAATTTCGATCGGACCTGTTTTGTCCGCAAGAGCCGCGGTTTCATGAATGCTCTGAGTATTTTTAAATAACTTTTGATAGAAACAAGATAGAGAACTGCGTCTTTCACCTTTGGAAAGAGGAGATGAAGATGCATCGAATCGTATAAGATAGGTTTTTCTAATGTGGATTTCTGAAGTATTTTTATTCAATTTTCTAACTGTCGGAAAGATGCTTTTTTTATGAAAAAGGGAAAAAGCACAAAAGTTAGCTTTTTTCATAGATTTTGCTAGAAAATCGTATTAGAGGTTCGACTAGAATGAATATTATTCATCTTAGCCTTCGGCCCTTTGTAGATCTTCGATTAGTAGTTTGAATTCATACTTAATAATTGAAAATTCACTGTAAACAACTTAACAGATGGGTTTGTTCTTTAAAAGGTCGATTGAAAACTTTAAAACAGTCATGTGTATACAAACTTATAATATACGATTCGATGTATCTTTATTTCATCTTTCGAACGATGACAACCTCAGCTCTTTATCTTGTTTTCATCAAAAGTCATTCAAAAAATATCCACTAAATAGGCTTCAGTATAACCATCATATATGATAGAAAAACAGACCTTGTCGAAACGTTATTATTATGATATTAGTTGAAGTATTATCAAATAGCATAGAAAAATAGAGCATTCTTTTCTCTATCAGACTATGTAGAGAAAGAGTTTCTTTAAGCTTTTTATAAGGAATTAAAGTACTAATCTCACTACTTTTGGACTGCCCTAAGTAGCAATTATAAAAATCGGTTCTAATCATTCTATACAATCTGTCGCTAATGTTATAAAACGCATTTCTAATATTTCGAATTAATCGGCATTATCACAAATTATACGGATGTAGTGACGATTGAAGAACTCATAAAACTCAAAAACTTTTTTTTTTACCTTCACTTGAAATTTTGTAAAACAGTTGACACAAACTTCTGGTTCTATATCATTGAGACATAATTAAAGCAAAGTGAAATACAAGTAAAGTATCGTGGAAGTATGCTGAAGTATAGAGAAGTACGAGGGAAGTCCAAGGATAGTACAGGGAGCACAGGGAGTACAAGCGAAGTATGCACTCCTGAAGTCTTGCTTTTCCCCCTTGATCCGAATCCAATAAAATTCAAAAACTCTAGCCTTGATTGAAATAGAGCTGTGGCTAGAACCACAATCATTTTGAAGATCCAAAGCCTACCGTTCTGTCTTATCATTCCATCAGTTCTATGAACACAGATGCTGCTACTAGGCGAAATAAGCTGTTTATTAAATGCAATGGTACGCTCTTGGTTCTCAATTCGATCAAGAATATATCTGGACCTTAATGAATAACTGTGAGCCGACATTCGCGTCGGTTGGACAGAAAAATTCGCTTAATATTACTTCAGTTTAAGTTTTACTTCTTTCAGGGGTAATATTATAAGACTTTTCAACTTACTTGATAACAACGTTGGATTTTTCTCAGTGTTAGACAACTCATTTCTTGAATCAGTTATTGGAAATGGTTGCAAACGAGCAAATTCAACTGTTTGAATCATATTATAAGGATTGTTTTGACAATTTGTCTGTTTAATAATCATGCTCCATCATTTTTTATGCAACAATACTCAATTTTTCACTTACTTCATGCATTCGAAGTTGTTCTGCTGAAAGTAATTCTTCACAATATTCACATGGAATATTTTCCTTAATCGATACTCGACTTATTGTTCTGAATATTACATTGCACAATTACTAGTCAGGTAAGAGAAAATTCTTACTCAGCAAGAGCTACTATTCGATGAGTTTCGTGTTCCTGGCAGTCTTTCTACAAAAAAAATAATATATAAAGAAGAACGGTCTATAGAAAAGTATATTTACAATATGAGTCATCCAATAACGTATATCGATCTGTTCATTACAAATTTCACAGGGAATATAAACAATACTAGTTGGGGTGCGATCTTCATTCGCCATTGATTGAGCTTTAAATGAGAAAAACTTTGTACAACCAAATACTTAACTATAAAAGTTGCTAAATACTTAGATTTCGATTTGGTTCTAGATTTACTTGCTGTTGAGAACTAAACGAATGTCATCTACTGAATTAATCAGCTACATTATATAAATATATAAAACATACGTGCATGCTGATTGACTTTGAATAGTCAACAATGACATTTTCAAATTTTTGAACGCCGGTCGATCCTTTGGATCAGGATACCAACAGTCATTGACAATCTTCCATAATTCATGACTACACGAAGTTGGCTGTTGAAGTCTTTCATTATTTAGCTTTCGCCGTCGTACATCATTGTCATCGTGCGACAGAGAATAAGGTAATTCACCATAAGCACAAGCTTCCCACATCAAAACACCCATAGAATAAACATCTGATTTCTCGGAATAGTTTGATTTATTTGAATCACGTAGAATCTCTACAGCAGCATATCGTATAGGAATGATGGTCATTGTTGACATGGAGGAACTATCAACAATTGAGTATAACTTGCTTCCTCGTGTTAAACCGAAATCTGTTAGTTTAACTAAGTTTTTATTTGGATCAGTTGCATCGTATTGAAAAACAAGAACATTTCTACATGCTAAATCTCCATGGACAATATCGTTATCAGCTAAACATATCATAGCATCACATATTTGTTCAAATATTTTCAATAGAACTCTTTCATTTGGTTTAAATCCATTTTCTTGTAACAGTTCACAAAGATCACCATGTGGAGCACGTTCTTGTAGAAGCATAATTGAACCTGGATTGCATTGAACGAGACCAAATGTCCGAACAATATAAGGATGACAGCTTAGTTGAACATAGAATGATGCTTCTTGAGTGGCTTTGGCTCCTGCAATTTTGAGAAGAATAATTGGTGGACCTGTACGATTAATCCATTCAACTTCATAGATCATCTTCCCAAATGCTTGAAATATCGGTTTTGATCTAGTTTTTCTTATATCTACATCGAGTTGATATTGATATTGAATTTGCAGCGGTTGTACTATGAACTTCAATTCTTGAATCATCCTTTTCACTGCATAGTTTGTTCGTAATGAGTCAATACTCATCGGTTGTCTTGTGATAGGACTTGTTCCCTTTTTGTTTAACCATTCAGTAATAGCTGTGCGCTCATAGGTGTGTCCGTCGTCACCAATTACTGGATCCACGAATAATTCTTGCATAATAGGACATTTGCATGATTCCATTTGTCTAATGTCTAGTTTGGCTTCCTATTCGTTGCACAACACGAAAAATTTCTTATCAACACACAATATTGTAATCATACGCTTGTTTGTCGTATCGGAAGAAAAAGAAAAAAGTTTTCTTCCTCTCAAAGAAAATTTTTCGAGCAGCATGTAGCTCGAAAAAGGACATGATGTGGTAAAAAAACAAGCTGTTTTGGATGAAAACAAGTTAAAATGTGAGTATGGTATCGTTGACTCGACTCATAGAAAATGATTCATAGTTTCTGATGATGTATATGTCACAGTTGACATGGAAATTCAGTTGAGTTTGGAATGCATGTGAATAGCATGAGTCACACGATAATTAATGTTTGTTTACTATTCTATTCAATTTTTGTAATTATAGCGATGCTAAATGGTTGGTCGAGCTTTTTATGATTTATTTTGCAATATTTTAAAATATTTACATATAGATAGTTTGCATTTTTAACCATTCTTATTTAGTGACTATCAGAATTTCATGAATGTTATCCGTTTTCTTATAATTAATCGATCGATATTCGTTGTTATGAAACATCCATTCAAAAAACACAGTCTACGCCTGTTTGTTTTTAGTCACATAAATTTTTTTTGTGTGTGAATCCACTGTAAAAAAAACTGGCCATTCCAATTCCATATCACAATCATATATTTGATAAACTTTCTCACAATAAGCCTATGGAATAGATAATCAATAATCCATATATATTCCAATTATTACTCAACCAATCGAAAAACAGATCAGCTGGCATTCTAAATAGCATAAATCTTGGGGTGTGGGTGGGATGTGGTTGTGGGTGTGTGGGTGGGGGTGTGGGGTGGATGTGGGTATGGGTGGGGTGTGGGATGTGGGGTATGGGTGTGGGTGTGGGTGTGGGGTGGGTGCGGGTGTCAACTCGTCATCACCCACAATAGGGTGTGGGTGTGAGTGGATGTGGGTGTGGTGGGTGTGGGCGCGGGTGGGTGTGGGCGTTGGTGGGTGTGAGCGTGGGTGGGTCTGAGCGTGGGTGGGTGTGGGTACATAAGATAATTTTAACAGCAGCTAGAAAATTCATTATTTTAAGTAAGAAAACTGTTATGATCTGACCTCTACAAGGCCAATCATGCCATTCACTCATCACTATCCACTCTTAGTATGACACGTCCACATATATCTTCTTTCTTTTCTTTTTCTCTTTCTTCTCTTTGGTGATATATACTTGCGTATTGTTATACATAGTCAGTTGTTGTTGTGTTAAATAAAAGTTTATGTTCTTCTAACATCACGCCTCGTAATGGAAAAGAAGAACATAACAAAAACTTTTTTATTTATTAGTCGACGTTTCGAGCTTTCATGCTCATTTTCAAGACAATAAGCAGAATAGGAGGGTGTGGGTGTGAGTGCGGGTGCTGGTGTTTATGTGGGTGTGGGGTGTGGATGTGTGTGTGCGTTAACAGATCATCTACACTCACACCCACACCCCGTTCGCGGGATACGAGGGTTTTTTCGAAGTTCAGTATGTCGCGAGAAAAACAGTCTTTCGAGCTGAAATTTTTAGGACATTCTAGTCATAAGTAGATTTATCAGTGGGTCAAAGTTCAAGTTGAAACACTGTCATTCGATTGGCTGGTACATACTTTTATAGCTTCTCATATCTTACTATGGTCTATCTTATGCATAGAGTCCGAACTTGAAAGCAATATATCATTTGCAATGGTTCCCTTATCGGAAGAATATTTAAAAGATTATCTACAAGCGAATATTTTCCAATTTCTTTAGTTTGAACAAACTATTCTTACTTGGTCGTATGTTGATTGTAATTTTAAAAAAATCAAGCACTTCCATATATATTGAATGGGATATGTTAGTTTTTTAAGAATCTTATAATAGTGTTATAAGAACTATTTGACATCGACAACAATATTTATTAACTGATGTCAAGTCTCTATGTTCACAGCCACATCCTTCAGAGCAGATAGACCTTAGGCGATAGAGCCAAATTTTGGCTAATTTCGACTTTGCACAATGCTCTCTTCTATGAGATTTAGAGATCAGAATAGCTAAAAGTGATTCTCTTTTTGTCTCGTTTCTCCGAAATACTATGTCCGATGGATTTGAAATCTTTTTACAGATACTAGACACTGTTTGAGTTCTGTCGATATTTGGCTACTTTTTATCTTCTTTTCTTCAAATAAAAAGGCTAAAATACGAAACATATCCCAAGTAACGCTTGTTTTTTGATTGAGGCAAAGCACACGCTGAATGAGGCCGCAAATTGACGGCCCTTTATCCTGTGGGTGGGTATGTCTCTTCTCTTCTCTCACACTCACTTACTAATGAAGAAATTGTAAATAAGTTCGTTTACAAAGAAATAAGCGTGTAAGAGTCCTCTGATTATTTTTCTAGAGCATAAACGAGCTATTTTAATGGTTGTTTTTCTATTTCGCTATTTAAAAATAATCTCTTTCGATACAGTCTGCACGTTCACTTTCTTTTCAAAAGTGAATAAGTCCAGTGCTTGACGTCACAGAAAGTATCATTTGTTAAATTTTTTCAGTCGACATTTTTTTAAATTGCTTTTGATGTCCCAAAAACAAAAGATTCATTAGCTCCTTAGTCTAGTCATCCACACCCAAATTCTAGGTAACATTTTCCCATAAAAACACAGAAAAAAAA